ACTATTTTCTTATGCGTTCGTTTTTCCCTTGTATGTGATTAAATCTTGCTGCTATTGATACTGTTGGAAGCTGTTGCTACCTATGCTTAACGTTGCTACATGCTGCTGCCAGCCTGCCACCGCCTATGCTTGATGCTGCTGCTGCTTCCTCTGCTTAGATGTTGTTGCTTCCTATGCTTACTACTGCTCATGGGGTTTTCTAAGCTAAAAAAAAGGGGAACATTTTTTGATATTACAGTTTTTTTAAGCGTTCCTTTTTTATTTTTTTTATATGAGCCGGGTTATTGATGTTTATGTCTATTTTTGTTGTTCCTAACAAATTTCACGTTTTTTTCTTGGATGATGGCTATTGTAGGCTTATTGGGTTTGAAGTGAGGATTGAAGCCTCTTGGTTATATTTGTGTGTTTTGATTGAAATTCTATTTTTTTTATCTTTGCGCATTTCAAAACAAAATCATTTGCCATTGTTCTAAATTTTTTATAGAAGATAAGATACATTGTCACTATTCTAATATTTTTGAGAAAATTATCAGGAAAAAAAGAGGGGGTTAAAGATAATGGATCCTACAGTAGCAAGCTTCAATGGGGTGCTCAATAAATTTAAAGAGGAAGTTGGAAATATCAAATCTAATTGCATCCTTGTTTTGGCTGACAAATAACCCTTCTACTACTCTCTGTTGCTTTAATGTTGATATTGGATTTTAGTAATGGCTACACTTTTGAGAGCTTATGCAGGACATAGGCCAACTTATAAGACCCCTTAGCACCCTTGGAGGGTCAAGGATTTAGCTCAAGGGTGTTCCAGCCCTTATTCACTAGGAGAATTATGTTTCTGCTACGCATTTGGAAGACCAGAGGCTCACATTGAATCAAATATTAGTGCCCTTCTCGGTGAGTCTAAAAGTGATCAAATGTACTTTGTTTAGTTGCAGTTGCAGAGTTTTTAAAGCTAATGCACCCACCCCCTAACTGAAATAATAAATTTGCTTAGATGGGTAATTGATTTTTTGTTTCTTTTTTTGATTTATTGTATTTAATTAAGCTGATACAAATGATGTGCATTATAGTTTGCCAAATTTCCAAAAATTTCCTACTTTGTAGTTTCAGGAATCGATTTAACTATTAGCAAATTATTGTAAATCTTGTAAATTAATGTTTTATTTAGTTTATCTTGTGCAAAATCTGCTATGTCGCTTTCATATAGAGCAATACTTATGTAGAAGAAATGCTCTGAGATTGTATATTTTTGCTCATGCAATGATCTGTTTGAATCACCTATGATTTTTAGGATCAAGTGTATCCATTGCTCGGATTTGGTGTACAGGTTGAGCAAGTATTGTTAGTGTAGTATCTGATATATGCTCATTATTTGACAAGTACTTGTATTTTATTGATGTTGTTATTTATTATGTGTGGTTATGGTAGATGGGAAAAGGAGTAGGTGACTAGGTGGGGTGTGAGATATGATTAAATTTCCCAAGCCAGAGAGCTTGCCTTTTTGTGAGGGGTGGTGTACTGGTGTGGTACTCTGTTATGGAACGGGTCAATAAGGTCAACAAAGCTATCGGACCAATTCAACCACCACTTTTGGTGTACTCCAGGCGCGCAAAACAGGGGCAGCAGCAAGGGTCAATTGTGAGAAGGAACAATGAACAACAGGACAAGGCCAATTAAGGGGAAGTTGAGGAAAGAAGGCAGCCTCCTTTAATCATAACCTTTGTGGGTTTCTATTTTAGTTAATTAATGTCACATGTTCTAGTTAAGTCTTGAGTATATGTATTGTAGTTAGGGGGCAGTAGAGACCATCCAGAAATTAGTGAAAACACATGAGAGACTTGTGGCCTCAAGCTACTGTGAGATTCATAACCTCAAGTTATGCCTATCCCTTGTAATTCAATCATCAGTGAATCAAATACTCAAGTTTAAGCCTTGGTTCTTGCAAATTGTCTTAAATTATAATTGCAGTAAGTTAGTCTATAACATACTCCATGTGAGAGGTTACTTATTCTTGCTTGTTAATGAATTGTCTTTAATCTCTTTACACTTTAGGTGATTTATTCATGTAATTTCTAAAAAAGAAGAGTGCTTACTATGTGTATAAATTTTGTCTTAGATGACATTGAGCTTTAATATCTTGGTGCTTATATTATGAAATATTCATTCTTAGCTTTTATACACCAATATTCATGATTGAGTTTTTTTCTTTCTTTCATATTCTTTATTTTTTTATTTTTATGTATGATTGTGATTTAAAATTTCACTCTGTTGGCTCAGATTTGAGGCTAGAACACTAGCTATTGGTGAAGCCATTAAATTAGGAGCAGCTATAGACTATCTATCTAGAATCGGCATGCAAATGTTTTACGATTATGAGGTAGATTATTGTCTTGCAATTAATATCTTCCTGTCCAGTCGCTCGTTGATTTCTTATATTCAGCAGCTATATGATTTTTGGAACTTTAATCTCCAATATTGGTTATTATAATCCAAGTAATAGTACTAATAGAATTATTACTTAGTTGTAATTGTGTGTATGTTGATTAGATGGGAATGATTTAATGTATATTAGATATTAGATTAAGATAAAGTAAGATTTGTCTTTTATCTACTTTCATTATTTGAATTAACTTTTAATGCTCTTTTCTTTAATGATCAGTAGCTTTTTCTCATATTAGTGGTCTTGTAGAGATGATAAACTTAATGTTAGTGTTAATTCTTTTAGTTATAAGCTAGATTAAACTTTTTTAAAGTTTGAATTGGATTTGATTTTCTGAGATTGAATATCTACACCTAATTACTAACTAGCTAATTGAGATTTGTTTATGTTTTTTGGTTTGTTCTGGTTAGAATTTATATACAACTATACGAAGGATTGTTTTGGGCAGTTTATATTGATGTCGTAATTATTATCAAGCAATCTAATGAAATGAATATTGTATGTACTTCAATTTTTTTTTCTCATATATTGGCCGTAAATCTACATCTTAGTTTATGTGCTTTGGCTGCAAAATTTTATTCTAGTAAATTTGTAGTTTTTATGTCCTAGTTAGTTCTTGAGACGCTCCTTAAGTCTGTTATAATTTTAAATTTACTAAATCAAGTTTTTAATTGACTTAAAGTCTTACTAAATCAAGTTGTGACTAATCTTAGATCTGGTAGTGAAGTTGGGGTATTGATCAGATTGTTAAATCAGTTTTTACTGTTTTTAACTACTCTTATAGATTATGCTGAATATCTTCTTTAAGTCTTTTTTCATTTGGGTCTTACACAAAAACATACCTATAAAGGACTAAAGCCTGAAGGTACATCTAAAAAGGTGCTGTGTTCGGAGTCACAGCAGCATGGATAGCGCACACTAACCTGTTGATTTGGGCGAGTTTGCCTTTTTGTTCAGATTTCTATCAGTATTGATTTGGTGTGTCCAATTGTTGGATTGATAATGATAACTATATATGTTTTCTTTTTTATGTTCTTTTTTTTATCAATAACATATGATATGCTAAAAACTTACTTGGCCAAAAGAATATTATTGAACCAGCTTTTATAGCTTGCTTTAACTTTGGAATATCATGAATGTCATTCTATGTTAGGTAAGCATACTCCAATAAGTTAGGTATTTATCTTAGATTGAAATTTTTCTAGATCTTATTGTTACTTTGTTAGCAGGGCTGCCATTTTAAGCTTCAGTATAGTTGGAGAACCACTGATAAAGTTCTGTTTTCTTATTTATATACCAGGCATTGATGCATCTGTTCCTCTACCTTGTTTTGGTGCGGGATTCTGAATTGTTTTATGAGTGCGTGAGAGCTTTGAAAGCCTTTGCTTCATTTCATTATAAAGAAACTATTGCTAGAAAGGTGGGTCTAGGTTCACATGCTGCTTGTGGTGTCAAGGTATACGGGGGAGAATGTTCAGGAAGGAATTTTGAGTCGCTTCCTTCCTTCCCGGCTGCAGCTACTTCTATTTGAGGATTACAGGTATAAGGTTGTTGATAATTTTAACCTTTTTTTTATTTTATTTTTTGCATCAGGCATCCTTCAAGGGCAGTTGCTTCCACTCTTCCTTTCTTCCTCCATTTTTCATGAACTTTGCTTTACGCCCTCTTGCAAGTATATTAAGGAGCAGCTAAATTGGAGATTGATTGAAGATTTTTTGAGAAGAAATGAGCAGATTTGTTCCACTACAACTAGTCACGAATGAAGTATAAGTTGGAATTATATCTGTTGTAATAGAAATCTCGTTACTGTGAGATATTGTACATATACTATAATATACCTATATGAAATAAAAAAAAAAAAAAAAAAAATTGGCCCAATTATTTGGTAATTTTTTTTTTCATTGGAACGCACGTTTTTTTGTTAAATATATTTTAGATATTTTTTTTAATAATATGGACAAGAAAAAATGTCCCTAACGTAGATAATATAGACGAAAAAACCGTCCCAAAAATATTATATATCAAATGTTCGAAACTCTAGACACAAAAAAGCGTCACCGATTTAATGCTTTAGACAACAAAAAGCGTCGAAAATGTAAAGAAAGTGCGCCAATTTCTGCTAATGTCGACGCTTCGTGTGTTAATTTGGACATAGATAGCGTCGAGATTTTCGACGTTTTATAACGTCAGAAAATATTGGGACATAAAAAGGTGTCGAGATTTGAGACACGGAAAAAGCGTCGCAAATTTGCCGTCTCGCAAATTTGCCAAAAAATGGCGACGCTTTTCAATGCCGTAAATAATGGAAAAAAGCGTCTCAAAAGGACGGGATTTGTGGTAGTGTTGTTTAATTAATTAATTAATGATTTTCTAGCTACAAATCAGAGTATTAAATTCAGGTTAACTAATTTTGTTAGGCAAATTTGGATGATAGAAGCTAAATTATAAGGTAAATCTATGACTTAAACTTTGTAAAACATGTTTTATAGATAAGTTGTATTTTGAAATAATTAAAAAGGAATAAATTTCGATCAAACTTAAATATTCCAAGACCCTTGTGCAAAAGATCATTTCACAATACTATATCTTATATAAATTCATTTCATAATACATGCTTTGATAAGACCATGATGTCTTAAATTTCCTTGTATAGAAATCACGGCATACAAAATAATCCAGCTTTAATCCCTATAACATATTATTCCATTTGTAATAATCACTTACAAAATAATCTTTAATCATACGTAATATTTCTTCCGTCCCTTGCAGTTAGTGAAGGGGCACAACCCTAACATCGTCTAAGACAGGACCACACATGTGACTAAAATCAACTGTGTTGTGATAATAAGAACTCCAAAAGGTTAATCTAGTTCTATCTGAGATTGCCTTAAATTTAAGACTTGCAGAAGTGAAACCACCCTTTCCCTTGGATTCATAACTAACTTTAATTGTATCTTTGGCCGCAAATGCTTCCACTAGCATAGGTCCATTGCATCCATTTTTGGCATCTCCGATTTTGAAGGTGAGGAGGTAGAATTGATCTTGTACCGTTCTTATGATTTGAGCTATCGCACTCTCTCTTCCTCCTACTAATTCGACAGCAAAGGATCTTGAGGGCACAAAGAAATGTGTTGAATCAATGTACTTGATTGGTTTTAGTGATTCAATAATCCAACCAGGAAGTGGAGTGATATAATCATGGGCATGTGGAAGGAGGAGGACTCCTGTTGAGAAATTTTTGAACACATGTGGACCGATTTCAAAGTCTCCATTCTTCACCATGTTTCCTGAAAAAATTGAAAAATACGAAAAAAAAAAAAAATTAAAAAAATCTCTAAAGGTTATAAACTGATAGACTTCAACCATCAACTTAAGTTAAGTTTTTGATTGAGTTATAATTTAATTTGTGTTATTCTACCAAAGAGGTCAATCTGGGCCTAGCAAATGTTATGTAACAATTGCAAGTCACTCGGACAAAAATATATAATTGCATTATTACATGTTCAAATTGATCTTACCTATGGGTTTAGGAAGTGGCGCCATCTCTTTGATTGCAATGGCATCTAAAAGCGGTCCACATTCAGGGTCTTCTTCCTTACCCGGGTTATGAAATGCAACCTTAGCAATTTGAGAAGAGGCCTCGAAAGCCCAAGCATAAGTATCTCCTCCATTGCTACTATACAACGTTTGGATGGGTAAATCCGCGGAGTCATTAGAAGCTGAAACCCCTAAGACCTCATCTAGGGCACAAGTTCTTGTTGCACTAAAGGTAAGGGAGTAATATGACCCTTTCTTAACTCTCACATATTGATGTACAGAGGCCTCATTCCCTAGCCTTATAGCGTGGACACCTCGTGGAACCGCGAAGAAGAAGCCACCCGGTTGAGGTCCACCTGATATGTACTCTACTAAGCCCTTCTTCACCCATTTTGGGAGGGAGTATTTTCCTTTGATTACTGTACCCTTTAAGTCTGATGGCTTTGGTCCTTGTTCAAAGTTTCCATTTGGGAGAAGTCCTGTATGTAACATAATATAAAAATGTTAAATGTTGAAAATCTAATAAGTAACTCAAATCTAACACGCACCTCAACTTCTTGGACTCAACATGTACACTCTTACTTCATACTTGTAGTGATAAGTTACTAGTACTAGCTAAAAAATTTGAAGTATTTACTAGGATCAATGTTTAGAGTGAGACGTTGAATGTGGTATTTTAAAGAGTTACAGATATATATTTGGTCTTAGGTGATGTATATATGCCTTAAATATATTATCTAAATTGATTTATTTAAGAATATATGACATTAAAAATATCACATGTTGAGTGACGTAATATATTTACTTTCGTCTGTGCATATATAATATATCCCTATATATCATTTTCCACCTTAAAATGTTTGAAAAACTTTAGCAATTGAATATATAAAAATTTACGGTGAATGATTAGTCCCATTTTCATATGAATATATGTTCGGAGTATGAACTTTTGCATAATGTTCTAGCTATTAATTACGTTGATCCTTTAAATTAAGTTTTTGCAAGTAAAACATAATGCATAAAAAAAATAAAAAAATAAAAAAACTGTACTAAATGAGAGCATAAATATTAATAACATTTTAAACAGTGAACAAGTGGTAATTAAAATATACACGAACTACTTCGTAAACACTACTTGAATAACACACAAAATTATTATGCATTATCTACTAAATTATGATAAAGGCTTAGGCAACTAGGCAAGGATGCATCAAAACCCAATAACTCAAATTAAATCTCGTCTATATTATTACACGCTCATTATTACTATACGCAATACTGTCAATTATTACTCACCATCAAGAACAGTAGCATTGATTGAAGAAGCAAAATAATCACTGCAGCTTATCAAGACGAATACGAAAACAAGACAAAGCAAAGACGAAGCCATTTTTGAGAGAGAAAATGAGAGGAAAAGATAACAACCAAGGTCTCGAAAATGTGCACTTGATCTAAACAATGTGATTAGTAATAAATACTACTCCAGAGATGCTGTAGCATTATTAAATGTTATCATGAAAAGAGTAAGGAATTGAGTGAAATGAATTGGAAATTGAAATAATCTCGTGGTTTAGTCCACTATATAAGCCGTGAGTTATGTTTGATTGCCTCTAATATCCTTCCTCTTTCTTTCTAAATTGGTGTATTAATAAGCTTCGTTTTACGAACTTATCTGGGGGAGCTCGCCAGCCTAGCAAATGGTCCAGAACACAACACCTATACGACAGGTATCCCCGCCAATGACAGAACTTTATAGCTTAAATCTCAAATTTTTGAATGCACAAAACTATGAGATACACCATTTAACCCATTACTCAAATATTGAACAAAAAATTAGGAAAAAGGAAATAAACCCCAAGCTTAAAAGCAAACCCATTTGGTCAAAACATCAGCATTTCAAGTTATGGACACAAATTCATAGATCATACCTTTCAAAACATAAACCCCAATTTATTTAGCAACCTAACATTACTAAAACTAATTCAATACCCCAACAAACCCACCAAAAATTAACTCATTTTTCCACAATAAAACACCCATAAAATTCCAGTGTATCCAATGAAATTTTTTCTAGATTTAGACATCTGAATATAAGTCTTCAAGATAACTTTTGAAGTACAAAAAAATATAAAAATAAAAATGAATTAAAAAGGATAGTACCTTAATAATGCAATGAAATGCTAAAAACAAATGTGAATGTGATAATTAAAGTTTTTGTGACTTCTCCTTGAAATGAAGAGATACTTTGATTCTGCTGACGTTAACAAGAAAACCTTGTGTCTCTCTCACTCACTCACTCTTTTTCTCTCTCTCTCATCCAACTGAACAGTTTGCTGCTGTAAGAGGTTTTCAATTTTATTTTATTTTTTTTAACTTAATTTTGGATTTTTAATTAGTGTAATTTTGTCTTTAAGATTGGTAACTAAATTCAATCTCACCGAACACGTGGAGAGTAGTTATTAACTCTTTGAGTACTTACACGGGGTCCCAGTTGCTCTGACAGTTGAATTTTTAATAGTAACAATTTTGTACTGTTTAGTTCAGTACTTTGATAAGTTCATCGATAACCTTTTGGCTGTAAAAAAAAAAAAAAAAAAAAAATCAAAAATTATAGAAACGGTTTTTTATCATATACTCTTGAGTTTTTTCGTTTATTCATCATATGCCTCTGAAAATTTTTCAAATTCACTATATACTCCTGAATTGTTACAAAAATTTACCATATACCCGTAATGACAACAAGATGAGTGGAATTTGGTTAATTATGCATCAAAATCACCTTAGATATCTCCCCCTCATCCCTGAAACTAGGGGTGAAAGTCATACAGTTTTAAAACCAAACCGAACCAAATTATTAATTCGAATTGAATTTTTTTTTCAATTCGGTTTGGATTGGATTGAAAAAATAAAAAATTTGAATTTCGGTTTAAGGTCTTCAAAACAGAAAAAACCAAACCAAACCAAACCAAACCAAATTAGATGTAAATGTACAATTATAATTTAGGCCCAAAAGCCCACCAACTTAAGTCAGCCCAATCTTACATAAAAAGAAAAGCAAACCCCTAATTTTCCAAAACCCTCAACCGCCTCTTTTAGATTTTCTTTCTCTCTCCTCTCTCTTTCATTCTCAGCTTCTCTTATGCTCAAATCCTTAGGTTTCTTCGATTATGTTTATGAGAAGGTATTGGGTGCGTACTGCCACACGAAAATTTGCGTGCGGCAGGCTTGACTGATATATATTTCACTGGTTGACATGATTGACATGTTTCATGTGTTGATTGATATGTTTCATTTGTTGGCTGATATGATTTTGGTGTTGGCTAATATATTCTTTTGTTGAGTGATATGTTTTTTTTTTTTTAAAAAAAAAAATTTGATATGTTCCTTTTGTTGGCTGCTATAAGACATTAGTTGGCTAATATGTTTCTTTAGTTGGTTGATATCTTTATTTTGTTGGCTGATATGTATATTTTAATTGTTGGCTGGTATGTTAATTTTGTTAGCTTACTTGTTGCTTTTGTTTGCTGATTAAATCCTTGTGTTGGCTGATATGCTTCATTTGTTGGCTGATATGTTCCTTCTTTTGGCTGATATGTATCTTTTTTTAGATGATATGTTCCTTTTGTTGGCTGATATGTTTCATTTGTTGGCTGATATGTTCCTTGTGTTGAATGATACATTTTTATTAATGTTTAATATGTCCCTAATGTTGACTAATATCAGACATCAATTGGCTGATATGTTCATTTTAATGGCCGATATGCGTCATTAGTTTATTTTAATTCATTTTCTCCTCTCAAAACTCCCCTGTCCCCTGAATTCATCAACACCAACCCAACAATAACAACAACCGCACAAACCACCGGCTGCTCCCGAAATTCCCAACCAACAATAGCACCACCGTTGCTTAGCCACGCAGCCAGCAGGACAGCAGCTAGGACGTGCAACATTTGCACTGTCCAACCACCACCTCTCCCCCAAACACCAGACCTACTACGAGCACCTTGCCCAGCCACACCGCAGCTCCTGCAGCCACGACCAGCCGCGTAGCCAGGCGGAGCGCCCAACCACGCAGACCAGCCGCTAGCTGCTTCACATCTAGGGTTTCAATTGCAAATTGCCACACCTTTCTAACCGCCACCAACACCGATGTCCACCATACCAGCCGCTGCTTCACATCTAGGGTTTCAATCGCATATCCACCATTGCTTCCACCATTTTCTAATCGTCATTGTCGTCATCCACCATTGATGTCTTCATGCACCATTGTTGTTGTCATCATCATCATCGTCTTCATCGTCATCATCATCTTCTCCGCCGCACGAAACATATTGGGTGCGGACCGCACCCAATAGTTTGTGTTTGTTCTTTCGTCTGCAACTTAGATGAAGGCAACCTTAATCGCCACTAGCTCTATGGTCGGCAATGCAGCAAGGACTACACCAAGAAGCATTGAAGAAATCGAGGGGTGCGAAATTTAATTTCAAATATTGTTATTGAAATAATTTGTAATTAAAATATCTGGGTATTAATTTATGAGTTAAATTTATATTATTAATTAACTTGCACAATATTTGAATAATTAAAATTGCAAATCTACAGAAATTAAGAAAGAATTTCGGTTTATGGATTGGATTAGGTTTCTTTATTGACAATTCGGTTCGGTTTGGATTGGACCGAATTCTTATTTAGCTTGGATTTGAAATGAAAAATCAAAAACCGAATTTTTTCGGTTTGGGCCATAATCCAAATTGGAAACCAAACTTTCACCCCTACCTGAAACCACTCCTCTCTTTTCTCCAACCCCCAAAACCATTCCAAATCTCCATAACCATATTCGTATGATTTATTTTGAGGATGAAAAAAGGAAACTAGGGTGGTTTGGGGGTGGGAAAAAGGAATGTGGGTGGTTTCAGGGATAGGGGAATGTATTTAGGGTGATTTCAGGTCATTATTAACCTAATGACTGACGAAGTTAACAATCATTAGTCATCAAGGGTATATGGTGTATTTTAATGAAAACTCGGGGGTATATGATGAATTTAAAAAAGTTTAGGGGTATATGGTGAATAAACAAAAAAACTCACGGGTATATTGTGAAAAAACCATTAAAGAAATTCACTACTACCTCTGTGCTTTTATTAAGGGCCTGTATTCCATTTTGGGTAATCAAAATTAAGAGTTTATTTCTATTTAAAGGTTGTACTTTTTGAGTTTTTGGTAATATTATTCTCTTTTTGATGATTTTTCATCCTTTTTTTTTTTCTTTTTTATACTTTTGACATCAATTTCCAATGCTTTCTCTCTCCCTCTCATCAATATTTATCAACTACTTTTTCTTTCTCTCTACTACTCTCTAACCCCACATGTATATTTGTATTTTCAATTATTAGTTTTAAGGAATCTACAGCTTTCTTAATTCCCGTGAAAAAACCCAAATAGGCTCTTAATAAAAGGTTGGAGAGAGTAAGAGTGAACCCAATGGTTGCCCACAACCATTGTGGTTATTGTTGGAAAAAATAGCTGTTGATTCCAAGAAAACAAAATCGCCATACTCGACATCAAAGACCTTTCCTCCATCAATTGGGCCGTGATTTGAAACTCACTAACTTAGAAGCGAAATACGCCACCACCAGTACAGGTATCCTAGTGACGCACGCCCCTGAAGTTTTACACAACTACGTACGTAATCCGTGTACTCGAACTCAAAGGTTATAATTACTCAAGAACTGTTCAGATTTCAAAGGGTTGGTTTGTGTTTTATGTGATTAGGGTTTTTCCAAAGTCGTCTCATTGAAGAGGCTCCTGTTTGTATTTATAAAGTTCAAATACAAGGAAACCAAATAAATCTAAACCACATATCAGGTTATGTTGTGCCTAACTAGGCCCAAGTGATAGCCAATTCAAATAAGTCCTGACGTACACAGTCATGTGGAAGAGGGTACACGACCATCTAGATTGGTTCATATGCAAAGCCACATGACCGTGTAGAGCAAAGTACACGGTCATGTAGTACAAGTTACACGTCCATGTAGTGGATAGTTGTACATTAATGAGTTTTCAACCAAAGAGTTACTCTCGCCTGCTTGGTCGGACAAACCAACCTGATCAAGTCCAAGATAAAACCTCTCCGATTAACTCCAACAATCCCCCACTAATGCAAACGTACTAGAGATCATGAAATCTGAACAGTAAATGAAAGTCTTAGTATTTAAATGCTAGGATCCGAAGATTTTAACTAACACATTAGTGCACAAGGTTTTCAACACTTCCCTAGTGAGTATCCTAAGATTTTAACTCCTAGGAGCGAGGAAGGGACCTTGGAAACACATACCTTGACTTTAGAGCTTAAGCAACTTTACAAATCTTGGCTACACTTGGGAACTCATGAGTACTTCAAAAGAACCATACTTGTTCTCCCTAGAAGAGTGCCACTCTTCACACTCAAGCTGATATGAAACAACCAACAAAACCAAGAAAAGAGGGGAGAAAATCAATCAACAACAATGTCAATGCAAGAAAACAAGATAAACCTATCTCAAAAATCACCAAGATAAATGAAATAGGGGTTCTTAATCAAAGTCAACACCAAGTAAAGCTAGGATTAAGGTGTAACCACAAAGAATACAAGGAAGCAATCACAAAGATAGCAAATAATCACAAAAATTATGGGTAGAGAGAGAAAATCTCATTGATTTCAAAATTAATCTGGGACTCTACTTTCATCTCCAATTTGAATCACTTGAAAATTCTTTGTAACAAAAAATATATGACTGATTGAAGTTGAGTATACATAAACAAGTTTTTTCTCTTGGCTAACACATGGAATCATTGGAGCTTTATTCTAAGCAATCAAAGTGTCACACGAGTTTGATGATGGTCAACCCGGAGAGGTGACCACCAAGGAGTTTAACACGGCTACGTGTCACAACACGTGGCACTTCTTCAACTTCCTCCACCAAGTTCCATGCACCCGCTTCAAACCCCTCCTCTTCAAAAGGAATTGCCCTCAATTCCGGATCATTATAATCAACATCTTCCTCAAATAGAAAAGGAGCAAGATCACCAACATTAAAGGTAGCATGAATTCCAAAGTATCCCGAAAGTTTGAGCTTGTGTGCATTGGATCCAATCCTCTCCACAACTTCAAAAGGGCCTTCGGATCTTGGCATGAGCTTGTTCTTTCTCTTATCCAGGAATCTTTCCTTTCAAAGATGGAGCCACACAAGATCTCCTACATTGAATTCCCATGGCTTCTTGAATTTGTTTGCTCTTGCCTTATAACTATCATTTGCTTTCTCAATCCTCTTCTTGACATTTTCATTTGATCGTTTCAACTCTATCTTTTGCCTCAAAACTCTACTCCTCTTGAGGTATACTAGGCAACAAGTCAAGTGGTAAGCGGGTATTGAAGCCATACACTACTTTAAAAGGTGTTTTCCCGGTAGCTATGTAATGAGAGCGGTTGTAAGCAAATTCAACTTGTGGAAGTTTAACATCCCAATCTTTCATGTGCTTGCTAATGATAGCTCATAGAATGGTGGACATGGTATGATTAGTCACCTCCGTTTTCCCATCAGTTTGAGGGTGACTAGAAGTACTAAACAAGAGCTTGGTTCCTACCAACTTCCACAAGGTCTTCCAAAAATAGCTCAAGAACTTAGGATCTCAATCCGACACAATGCTTATTGGAATACTATGAAGCTTGGAACCTCACTTTAGGATTTTGATATTGGTTTTTTTTTTTGTTCCTCCCCTTTCCAAACAATATAATTGTATTTGTTTGAATGACATGGTTATCATATAAACCTTTAACCTTTAATAAAGCTCTTTAATACTTCGTATACTAATACTATACATAAGTAGAAATCTATTCAGAGTATTACACTACAACCATTCAAATATGCAAAGAATATTTTTTCCTTCATTCTTTATTTATTGTATACCAGTTAAGTAATATAAACAAATAATCCTATAGGTGACAAAAACTTCAAAGAACGAACTTGAGAATGATTATTAGAAGGCCGCCTTGGCTCAAAATTCCAAATAGCACTTACCCAAGATTCCAATCTTCATATATTAAAAGCTCCATATTGAGTGCCATGAAAATTCAAACTAACTTAATTAACATTTATTAATGGAATGTAACGAGAAGGTCGAAAACAAATAAGCTATTGTACCGTAGTTGAATTGATATGTAATTCAGGGTAATGATATATGTAGTCATTAGGACTACAAATAATAAGCATCTAATACTTTTTCTGAATGTACTATTTTTAACCAGGTTTAATACAAATTTCTTAAAAGTGTGTAAATGTCATCAAGTAAAATGCTGTTGAGCTACTTTCATTGTATATTTAATGATATTTATGGATAAAGTTGTACATTGAGATATATACACAAGTTATAGTGTTACGCTATTTAGATAGGAGGCCAAACTTAGAGTAGCTTATATCATGGAGTCGATGAAGACATCTTTGCTTACATCTCTTTGCAACACGTCCAACTATCCATATAACTATATAAGCCATTATGTTCAAAAAAATTGTATAGTACGTAGAGGTTATTGTTGAGGCAAATATTATTTTTTGCCTACAAGTCAAATACCCTATCTTGTTCTAGAGAATTAGGGGCTGTCCCTAGAATTACCGATTTCAAAGATTGATAACCTTACTAACGTAACAACACAGCAAACAATAAGGAAGCTTTCCCAAAGAAAATAAAACAAGTTAGATTTCTTAAAGAAACGAGTAGATAAACATATAACGAAAGACACAAATGCATTCCATTAATTAAAAGATAGAGTCAGGTCTACAATTGTATAAGTTGAAGGAGAGGTTACCTCCATGACATACAATTGGAAATGACGAACAATCTTCAATACGTACTAAGAAAAACTACCCTATTGGCTACTAAGCCAAGGGAAACTAAGAAAGCTTACAAAGAAATTAAATGTTTGTTGTTGATTGTTTTTGTTGATGTCCTTCCTTCGATCTTCATGCTTCTATTTATTGGCAAATTGGAGCAGTTATGACTGACTCCCACAGCTGTAGTGCAATTATGTTTCTTGGCGCCAATTCTATTTGAAAAATAAATTATCCACTTTCCCTCCAAAGCTGTATTTTCAGCATTGAGCTTTTAGATAATACCAGCCCATTTTCATCATATCCTTGCTAGTTTAGCCCGAAACCTTTCATTGACTCTAAGGTCCAACTTACTTGGTCAAAGTCAAGGAAAAGTCAACTAAAGTCAAAAATCTGTTTTTTGGGTGTAACAGTTATGTAGCTTAGAAAAATATTATGCCCCTTTTTCTCCTATTAAATGTGGGAAAAATTCTCTTTCATCTGTTAACTTGTTCTTTATGTTTAATTTGATGGCTTTGTCCCCTTCTTCATTGTTCCCATATCATATAGAAAATGGAATCCTAGAGAAAGAGATCTCTTTCTTTAGGCTCCCTAGCTACTAATGTCTCGGATCAAGATAATTCGATCATCTCTGATATGAAATAAAGCCTCCATGAATAATCAATAACTATATACTAAAAGACACACCAGCAATGACACGTGTCATTTTATGGCTTGTCCAAAAAAAAAAAAAAAAAAAAAAAAAAAACTATTTAGGAAACAAATCTTATATATAAATAGAAGAATAAAAAGATTTAATATATCCTTCCACTATATATATTGATAACATAAGCTAAAGTTAAAAAAATAAAAATCAAATTCTTAACATAATTTGCGACATACATAGTGCTATATACTACTCTTACCATTTTTACAACAAGGATTATTTTTTTAAAAAAATATATTTGTATTTAATTATGTTTAAAAACCTTGCTAGGAAAGATATGAATTTTTTTCTAAGCCAGTTGATTATTGAGAAGAAAAATAAATACCGCGCAAGAGGGAATGGATTAATTGTGTGTAAAAAGTAAATCTATTTACGAATTAGATACATAGTTGTAAGATATTTATTTGTTTAAAAGAAGAAATGATATAAAGTAGTTAGTGAAATATATATAAATATACATATATGTGTATTTCAAATTATCCATTTTGCTAATAATAGACTCTTTCATAATTAATTTATTTTACAAAGTAGTAACTTAAATAGATTTTTTATAATTAAATATAGTGTTAATAATTATAGAGTAGTTATTGAAAATTACCGTGCATGGCATGGGACCTAACCTAGTGAACAATAATTGTGAGTTACTTCTTTGGGTGTGTTATGATTTTTATTTATTTGAACTTATATAAACTAAACTGAGAGCTTATCTGAATTTAATAGAACTTATTAAAACTTATTTTAGTTGTAATTTGTACTTGGTTAACCCTTATCACAACTTATTTTTCATGAACTTATCTTATCTGAATTTATCTTAACATATCAGAACTTATTAGACCTAAAACAAGTGAAATAAGGTGAACATAACAAGTGGCCCTAAGTATTCCCAAAAATAGAGAATAATTACAACTAATAAACACTAACCAACTTGCATGAGAACGTCTCGTTAGGGGCAACTAGTCCAATTAGAGCCACACCATTCTTAAAGGCATTACGGAGTACAAATTAAGTGTTAATATTTTCTGTTGAAAGGATTTGCATGCATCTACAATAATTATTATAAGTAGCAAATAATTGAAGAAGGAAGTTAGTTCATGGAAGCAAACACATTTTATTTAACTAATGTGCAATGGAGGATAAAGTTACTACAAAGAATACAATAGCCTCAATAATGTACCCATAACATATAAAGGTAAGTAACTCTAAATTATTACACATATATTTCATGATATTATGAATAAATTGTATAAAATTCATGCACCGAAAATCATTTTAATTGTTTTGCTATAGCAAGAATCAATAAAGAGGTACCACCTTAACATCATCTAAGACAGGACCACACATGGATCCAAAATCATGAACTTTAGTGTGATACATTGAGCTCCAAAATGTTAACCTAGTTCTAACTGACATAGCTTGAAACTTGAGACTTGCATGTGTAAAACTACCCTTTCCATGAGACTCGTGGTGAGCAACCACATTTTCCATTGCCGCAAATGCTTCCACCATCATTGGTCCGGTGCAACCATTCTCCGCGTCTCCCATGGTGAACGTTAGGAGGTAATGCTTGTTAGGAATTGTTCTTATGATTTGAGATATCGCGCTTTCTCTTCCTCCGGTCAACTCAATAGCAGCAGACCCTGAAGGTACAAAGAAGTGCGCTGAATCGACGTATTTCACAGGCTTAAGAGATTCAACAATCCAGGCAGGGAGTGGTGAAACAACGTCCATCGAATGTGGAGATATAAGTACACCGGTTGAGAAGTTATTGAATACATGAGGACCAATTTCAAAGTCCCCGTTTTTAACGATATTTCCTGCAAAAGAGTAATTGCCATAAGTTATTTTGAAAAGAAAAAAATTACTTCCAATGCAATTCAAGTAGATGAAGGATAAATCATAACCTCTAGCTACTAAAATATGTTCAAGATGTACAAGCTGATATAGTCTAAATTTTCAATATTAATCATATTGCTCAGTCCCCTCAACGTGCGTATAGTTAAATATAAATTAATGTTTACTTATGAAAACCATATTAATTTTTGCTAATCAAAATTGATCTCACCTGATTGGATCACTAGTTCTATATATTTTCATAGAAGTATGTAGTTACTCATCATGAGTATTGATTTATGACTTTATGTTGTATACAAGTACACATTAATAGAAAAGCTTAAAGAGGACATTAGGTCTACAATCTTTTATAGAAACTTTTAAAAAAAATTATATATAAATACGAAGTAAAAAAGAAGCTAAGCAAATTGTAGATATAGAGTATTCACTTTGTCTCTAAAACACTTTTTCTATAGACGATGATTGTGTCACAAAAAAAGTTAAAACAAAAAATAATTTAGAGACAAAGAAAGTATTAAGTAAATGAACAAAAATTGTACCTATTGGTTTGGGGAGAGGCAATATCTCTTTGATAGCAATAGCATCCAAGAGTGGTCCACAAGTAGGATCTTCTTGAACATGAGGATTGTAGAAAGTGACATTAACAATATTAGAAGTTGCTTGAAATGCCCAAGCATAAGTATCCCCTCCATCACTACTGTACATTGCTTGAATGGGTAGATCCGTGGTTTCTTTTGAAGCCAATACCCTTAAAACCTCTTCTTCAGTACAAGTCTTTGTTGCACTAAATGTGAGAGAGTATAATGATCCTTTTTTGACTCTTAAAAATTGGGATATCGAGGCTTGATTTCCTAACCTTATCGCATGAACGCCACGTGGAACAGAAAAGTAGAAGCCACCTGGCTGTGGTCCACCTGATATATATTGCACTAAGCCCTTCTTCACCCATTTAGGTAGGGAGTATTTGCCAACAATTACCATCTTGTCGAGGTTTGATGGTTTTGGTCCTTCTTCAAAATTTCCATTGGGAAGAAGTCCTATATATTTGGGAAAAAAAAAATTCAAGAATTAGAATCCTAGTGTATAGATGTACGATTAGATAAAATAAAAAAATTGATCAACACAAAATTTTAACTTCTATTATTTGGTATAAATATGATTTAATTACATGTAATAATGTTGGGGAGGAATTTTTTTTGAGTCCATGAGCAAATCCACATGTGAGTAAAAGCGTTATCCCACATTGAAGAGTATATAAATAAAGACGAATATTGGGATGTGTATCCCATATTGAAGAAAAGAGAAAGTCGTGTCTATTTTATAAGGCTAAGGGGCTACTCCCCTCATAGCCATATGATTTTGAGGTGAAAACTCCTTAATTGTATAAAGTGGACACTTGTGACGGGTTTGGCCCAAGTCCGTTTATCAATTTTCATTTTTTCCTAAAATAATAATGACTTATGCTTTTTTTTCTCCTCATCTTATTTTTGATGAACTTTAGGCTAAGTTTGACTCATTAATTTCAATTAAAATTTACTTATTCTAGTAAATTAAGTATACTATCGTCATATCTATCTTAGTGAAAATTCAGTTGAAAAAAATGCATGCAATAACGTTTCATTCTAGTCAATCAATTGTTCTTTGGGTTGGTACAATGTATACCACCTATCTTGATCCGTCATACAAGAAGATCGACCAAACCATTATTTGTGAGCTCAATGCAACTATATGCAAGTGGTAGGTCGTAATTACTTCACATGCACTCTAATGGAGGACTTGAACTTGTAAGGAGGGACATCATCGCATTGTTAATAAATTATGCATTACTCGAAGAAAAAATTACACATATATGTAACAAGTGTAAGTGTGTATATATACTTTAACTAACTAATTAAGCTAATTTTTCAGTGTACAATAATGTTCTATTTGCAATGGTTGTGAATTTGTGATGTCGACATGAATTCATCATTAAAAAAGATCAATTTTGCATCGAAACAATGACTATATTTGCTATTAAAGTACCGTAAAATTATAAAAAAAAAATAAAAAAATTACAATATTTAAATATTTGTCGAACTCACCATCGCGAGGGGAGGTGTTAACTGGAGAAGCAAAATAACTGCTGCTGCTTATCAACAAAATGAGCATAACAAGGCAAAGATTTTGATAAGAAGCCATCATAATTTTCTTGTATAAGAGAGAAATAGAGAGTGAAATAGGGAGAGAAAGAGATCCCTAAATTGTGCAATTGCAATGAACGATGGAAAATAAACCATATAATAAGCTGTTAATTCACCACCATGATACTAGCATTGATTGTGAAATAATGACTTTGAGAAATATATGTCTTGAGAGGTGTTAACTTGTCTCCTTTTTGCATCTTAGGTTTTATTCTCTTAACCTTTTTACTCAACTATATATTCAATTTTCGTTTTTATTTAAAATAAGCATTGCATGAAAGCGGATGGGACACAAACACAGAGAGGTAACAATAAAAAAGATTGGGATTGAGATACAATATATTTAATTTTGTTATATTTACATGTATGTAATTTAGTGTATTATTGGAAAAAGGTACATTATTCATAAATAGTCAAATGAACATACATGTCTTATATATATTTAAACGACTAAATAAATGAATTGAATAAGTAATAAGTTCAGTGGTGTGTTAATAGATATCTGTCTATATTCATAGACAATAAATACGACGCGAGTAATATCATATTGAAAAGTAATTAAATATTCAAGATAATAAAACCTTTTACATTTGATTATAAAAAGTAATTTTCCAGTATTATTCAAAGAGTGAAATTAAATTAAACTGGTGTTGGAAAGTGTCTGGTTTGTGTCTACAAATTTAAAGCAAATAATGAAATAAATTATATCTACAATGTTGGGATATTGCGAACAATGCAACGATGCATGTGAACCATGCATCCATGCATCTTCCAAATGAAAAGTCAACACCTCGATATAAAAAAAAATAAAAAAATAAATAAATAAGCCAAAGCAATCAAATTATGCATTCGTTGAACTTAAACCGACTTAATTTGTATTTTGTAAGGTGTTATTACTTATTAGCTCATTCGCCTCACTGTCTCATATACTTGAACAACATTATACTATACATGATCCTCTGGTTCTGTTAAAAAAAAAAAACAAAAAAAAAACAAAAAAAAAAAGAAAAAAGAAAAATTATCTAGTACGGTACACTTAGGCTGTAAGTCAAAGGCTGTAACTTTATAAGTGGAATAAATGAGCGATTTTCCTTAATATTGTTTAAACAAAATAAACTCACATTATGCACCGATTTAAAAATATATTTTCAAAATACAGTCCATGTAAGATTGGTTCTCAGTTCAGCTTAAAACCGGTACTATCCCCAACGGTTTAAATTAAAACCGCTAATAATATTAGTGGTTTTACATGTTTTTAATAGAGGAAAAGAGACCTGTTTTTAGTAAAATTGGGTCTCTTTGAACTTTCAATGTAATGTTACCGCTCTCTTTCCTGCTTTTGGCTAATGAATGTGTGAATTAACAACTAAGAAGGCAAATAGAGCTGTTTTTAAATAAAATGCAGTCTCTTTTCTTATACTGCTATTGCCATTAACGGTTTTAAAACTACAACCGCTATTGCCATTAGCGGTTTTAAGCTAAATCAAATGAAAAAAATTAACGTCTAACACCGATCTTACGTGAACGGCATTTAGGGAATTTGTTTTTAAAGCAATGCACAAAAAGAATTTATTTTTGTTTCAACAATATTGTGGGAAATCACTCCTAAATAGCCAGTAAACATATAAGTTAAATTACATGATAAGATAAGTACACTCAAATCAATTTGTAAGTCAAATGGGTTATTGGCTTAGATTTATATAGGCACGTGACCTCATGCAATCGATAGGCTGGAGTAAGTAAGATGATCTTAATAATCTCTCTCTTTCAGCTGCAAGCTGAGATTAGTTAGCACGCACACCCTTTATAAATTTTATGTTGCCTCCATTCCTAAGTAATAATTTTTTCATCTTAACAAAAATCTATCTCCACTTATTGTTTAGTAAAGAAAATTTACTTTGATCTGTCAGTAATTTAATGAACTCATGTTTCACAACCTCTTATAAGTTAACGATTCAGGTTATTAATAGATAGCTAAACAGTACACTTGTACCTTGAAAGTGAGAGGAATGGGTAAACAAATACGGATCCCTACCCTCAAAGTGTCTCTCCTCTAGGTTAAAAGGTCATTTCTTTATTACTACACCAAAGCTTTTTTTTTTCCTTTTTTTTTTTCGTAAAGAGGACTTTAATTGAATCTCAACCTTCCCGTTTAATTTTTTTGGTCCAATTTTTGCAGGCCGAATACTCGATTGGAAGTAGGAGGTAAAATGATCCCCACCTCTAAGTTAAGTATACTCACTTGGTGAAAATTTGAATTTTAGGCCTCTAAGACCTAACACAAGTCGATCTCTTGCAAAGTGAGTCAAGTCTTGCTTAATACACATATATGCATGCCAATGCTGGTGTGTAGGCTGGTATTCTTAAACATATAATGTACTAGTATACTACTAGGGTGGATTAAAGTTGATAGTAAGTACGTACAATAGTACTCCGTATTACTTTGTGCTAAAAATTGGTTTTTGACTTGCACAAACCAGTAGGAAAAAAATAATAAAAAATAAAAATAAAAAAAATAAAACCAGCAATCAGCACCTGGCAATGCCATAATGGTAGTACAATAATATCAAAGATTTTCCTGATACGTATAGATGCATGTTCATAAATTGAATGTATACCTCACTTGGTGCCGCATCTTAAGCCACTGGAAAGCCAATTGCATACACTGACCTGCCATTAATAATATCATGCACGAAAGTTCTTAGTTTGTTATTGCAATATCCTAATTTTACGTCTTATACTCCGTATCTACTATCTAGTTTAGCCGTGTTCGGGCACTTGTTACATACTGCATTATCCTTATTATTCTATGTTACAGTACATATAATACTCCGTTGGTGCAAAAATACAAACAAGTCAATGATACTCGATCTTGCATATTACACCAAGAGTACCTTAGGAGTGTGTCGTTAAAAAGTATATATTGACCTTTGAGTTGGAAGTCTTGTTAGTGTATGAGTAATATATGATTATCAAAACAACACAAATTTAAAGACAATGATAATTGATCATTCATATAAGAGTACAAATACAAGCAAGTAGGAAATTTTAGAGAAACAAAGAGCGAGGCTGACGATCGAATTAGATCTGATCCATAGAGGATCGGACGAGTTACCTCCGTGATTAATTATCACGAATGGAATTGAGCAACTGCTTCAAGTGATTGTAGCATACTAATGCTAATGTTAACACTAAGGCCTTGTTTAGTTCACCTGATTTAAGCTGATCTAATTTGATCTGAACTTATATTTTCTAATCTGATCTGATCTGAACTTATATTTTCTGATCTGATCTGATCTGAACTTATTTTTTCTGATCTGATCTGATCTGAACTTATATTTTCTGATCTGATCTGATCTGAACTTATATTTTCTGATATGATCTGATCTGAACTTATTTTTTCTGATCTGATCTAATCTAAACTTATTTTTTCTGATTTGAACTTATTTTAATTATTTCAATATTCTACTTTTAATGTTAATCAATATTAATGTTTAATTATTATTGTTATGATTATTATTATTACTATTATTATTTATTATTATTATTATTATTATTATTATTATTATTACTATTATTATTATTATTTATTATTAATTATTATTATTATTATTATTATTATTATTATTATTATTATTATTATTATTATTACAGATATTTTAAAGAAACCTATAAGTATTAAAATTACTAGATAGTATAAGGTAATAGAATTGGAATATTTGATAATTTTATTATTTACAATATCCCACTTCATAAATGAATTTTTTTTATAAGAAAGTATTAAAATGGGGATCCTAAAAAAAACTAAATTACAGATTAAATTTATCATAACTTTTTTCTACATAGAAAAAAGGAGATTTGACTTGTTTTTAAATACCTTAATTCTTA